AAGATGGAATACGGATACCGTGTCTTTCTTTATTCCTTTTACTAGTACGTTGTTTTTTTTGTTGTTGTTGTTTTTTTTCAAAAGCCTCATTATTTTGAGTTCTCTCATATGTTGTGACAGCAGGTTCCTTTGTCAACCATCCTGTTCAGAATAAATAGCCTGCGCTATGCCAGCATGATTTATTACGGCTACTTCCTTTCTTTATGTTTCAAGTAATTTTATCATCAGAGGATATAAAGTGTTTTCGACGGGTGCAAATGCCTGCGTGACTTGAGCAGTTCCCCTGGCCGCTTGGCCCGCTGCCTGTGGACAGTGCTCCGTTTTGGTAGCAGAGAAGAGAAGACAGAACAAATTAGGTTTCCTAAACAAGATCCATGCCCCAATGTCATCAGCACTTCTCCTCTAATGACACCCACAGAGAACTGCCAAAGGATATCAGAGGATCAGAGAAAGTATACATAAGGTTTATTTCTATTCTTTGAGCAACGCTGAGTTATTGTGACGAGGACAGAATGAACTTGTGTCACTGAATAGATGTTGCTAAAATAAATCCCCTCCTTTTTTTGGGACTTTAAAAATGGATTTTATATCTATACTAGAGGCCTGGTGCACAAAATTCATGCACTTGGGGCAGGGGTGGGGTGGGCCTCAGCCTGGTTTGTAAGAGGGCACAGGCCAGGGCAGTGCAGGATTGGGCCAGGGAGAGAGACGGGAGGTTGGCCATCCAGGGAGGGACTGTGGGAGGGCTCCAGGGGGTGTCTGGCCTATCTCGCTCAGTCCTGCTTGGCCAGACCCCGGCAATAAGCTTACCTTCTGGTTGGAGCATCTGCCCTCTGGTGGTCAGTGCACATCATAACAATTGGTCAACTGGTCAATTGTCTGCTCCCTGGTGGCCAGGGCACACCATAGCGAGTGCTTGAGCTGCCTTAGAATGTCATTAGCATATTACGCTTTGATTAGTTGAATGGCTAACCAGACACCTGAACATTTAGCATATTAGGTTTTTATTATATAGGATGTGAAAGATTGTTTAATCTTTAAACTGCCTATAAGCATGGAGTACACTAGGTAGTTTCTTCTTTTTTAAATCAGATGGTATCTTAAAAATATTTTATATATTTAATTATGAAAAACTGTAATTACATTACAGAAGATTTGGAAAATATAGGAAGAATAAAACTTCCCAGAATCTTGCCACTCTAATAGATATACTAATAATATTTTTTAAAAATATATTTTATTGATTTTTTACAGAGAGGAAGGGAGATAGATAGAGAGCTAGAAACATCGACCAGCTGCCTCCTGCACACCCCCTACCGGGGATGTGCCCGCAACCAATGTACATGCCCTGGACTGGAATCGAACCTGGGACCTTTCAGTCTGCAGACCGACGCTCTATCCACTGAGCCAAACTGGTTTTGGCAAGATATACTAATAATATTTTTATGAGTTTTTTAATCTTTTGCATTAAAAATAACAACTTAGAGCTAATCTCCAGATACCTCAACATATCTTCTGGTTGAAGACTATATTATTTATAGTGATGATGCAAAGGAATTTCAAAATGTGTATGCTTCTGTCATTGAATATATTTATTTGATCAGATAAAGATGCCTTTCTAAGGTGGATTGATTTTGTTGCCTTGTTCATTGAGCTGTTAATTCATGGAAGCTACCATGGGAAACTAGTTTAATGATTTACGTGATTTTCTTTCTTTTAAAAAAAATATATTTTTTATTGATTTTTTACAGAGAGGAAGGGAGAGGGATAGAGAGTTAGAAACATCGATGAGAGAGAAACATTGATCAGCTGCCTCCTGCACACCTCCCACCGGGGATGTGCCCACAACCAATGTACATGCCCTTGACCAGAATTGAACCTGGGACCCTTCAGTCCGCAGACCGACGCTCTATCCACTAAGCCAAACCGGTTGCAGCCATGATTTTCTTAGTTGTAAAAAGTAATGACCTTCTTCTTTGTGAGTAATTTTTATATTTTTACGAAATCTGTAACTCTCTAGAAATTAATGATAGTTCAAAAAATACCTGATGGCAATTTACATTTTTTGGATTTCTTATATCCGGACGTTAAATATGTCATTTGTTTTATTTTTTAAATAAACAGTTTTTACAGAGTAGACAATAATAAATTGCTAAAATATTTGATCAACCTTACACCATATACAACATGGGGCAAAAGTAGGCTTATACGTGTATGTGAAACAGAGTTTGTTCTTGAATTATTATTTATTAACTACTGTATTATTTTCTTTATTTATAAATTGAATTTATTGGGGCGACATTGGTTAATCAAATTGTATAGGTTTCAGGTGTACATATATAACACTTCGTTTGTAGTTTGGTATTTCCCTTCTCCCACATTGAAGGTTAGAGGGACATGTTATTGGGTAGTTACCTTACTTGGCTGGTTTGGTTTTGGTCAAACCCTGTTGGTTAGTCTCTGTTGATTCTAGGATTGGTAGGAGAGTAGAGAGCCCTGGGAGTGTTTCAAAGAGGTCATTCCCCTCCCACCTGCTGGGTGTGGGAGGAGATGTTTATGTGCTCTTTCTGTGAGCAACTGGTAGGGCTCTTGAAAGTAAAATGTATGGAAGTGCCCAAGACTGGGATCCCTTGGAATTTTAAAAGTCCCATCTAGTTTACGAGTCTACGACAACCGGGCCGTTCCAGTTAAAGGTGTTCCTGCAGATGTGGCTCCAGAAGTGGGCTTCCATCCCGGACCTGTCTTCCTGGTCAGTTCTGATTCTCTGCTCGTCTGTTTCTCTAGCTTTTAAGGCAGCCCTTTGCCCTGTGAACCTATATTCTTATGGCTTTAAGAATTACTGATTTTCAGTTTGTTCAGCTTTTTTTTTTTTTTTTTCTTGTAAGGATAGGAGTAAAGATTTCCAAGGTCTTCATATATCAGCCTGGAAACTGGACATCTCCCTTTTTTGAAATGCAGAAATGTAGAAGGTCATTGCTAATAATGCTAGTGTAATGTCAAAGAAATACATAATTACTTCTTCATATTACCAGTTCCTAAGTTATTATCTCAATATGGTCAGATACTTTCAGGTTTGATTTTATTTAAAATGTTGGTAAAACAGGGAATAATTTTATACTTGTGATTGTATTTAAAGACAGGATAAATGTTTGTAGTGCCATATTATGATACATATTTGGGAAGCTGATAAAAATGTCCGACACATATCTCATATATAAATATTCTACAAATCCCAGAAATAATTTCTGAATTGGTAATTAAAATTTTTACATCTATTAAACTTTTTTCAAGTCAATATTTGAAATGAGAAACTGATTTGTGGATTAGTATCTATTTATGATATAAACTTTTTGTCATTAATTAAGAACACAATTCCTTTCAGAGTAAAATTAAAAAAAAATAAATATTTCTAATTTATACATTTATTTCAATATTTGTTTTTCTTTTTTTTTTTAAATACATATTTTATTGATTTTTTTACAGAGAGGAAGAGAGAGGGATAGAGCTAGAAACATAGAAATGTCTATCAGCTGCCTCCTGCAAACCCCCACTTGGGATGTGCCCGCAACCAAGGCACATGCCCCTGACCAGAATCGAACTCGGGACCACTCAGTCTACAGACTGACGCTCTCTCCACTGAGCCAAACCAGCCAGGGCAGTATTTGTTTTCCTTTGACATACGTGTTATTTGGTGAAGGATAATCTTGAATTGTTCTCTAGTTTGATGAGCTGGTATTATACTCTTTCTTTGTCATTTGTTTTAAAATGTTAAGAATTTTTTTTGTTTTATTCTCAAAGGAATACAATGATAACTTTTCTAGATAGAATCCAATGTCAATAGTTTGCTTGTGTTTGTTTGCTAAATATGATATTTAGTGTTAAATATAACCTTTTATACTAATTAATTCTATAATTGTATACATACTAAATGATATGGCTTTAGGTTTTTTGAAGTGTATGGAGACTACAGAGGATTTTTTTTTAAATCAATACAGAGATACATAATTACTAGTAACATTTATTCATTGGGACACAAAGATGTATTGCTTATAGTGTTAAAAAAGAAGAACATGCTGGAAAAGAAAATAAATGTGATTTAATTCAGAGTATTAATATAACTTTCTAAAGAACATCCTAGCTATTGGTGTCCAGTTTTAGTTACCAATGCTTAGTCTTCCTTTGGGAAAGTGAAAGATCATTCACAGCTGAGTCCTAGTCTGCCTCTTGGGACCAGTCCTAAGCAGAGTGTGGGAAGGCTGTTTCAGAAGCATCTCTGCTCTTGTGGCCGATCTTCCTCTCCCCTCTAGGCACCCAGTGCTATTTCCGTGAAGCACTGGGTTGGTTATTGTTGAAATGCGTTTTTAGTTTGTTATGGTTGCATGAATAATTTACTTTAGCTTATGAATATTTTACATGTAATATATGTACTTATTTTAGTAGCTATGTGTAGGTAGATTGGATATATTCCCCTCTCCTCAGTTCCTTTAACTGCCCCCTGTAAGTAGTAAGTACAGTAATTTGTAAGGCATTAAAAATGCATTTATAGAACCTTCCGTTTCATTTAAAATTGTATGCCTTCAATTTGCATTAATGAAGAGATTTTAAAAATAAAGAGGAAATCCATTTATCTTCAGGAAAGCAAATGTAACTGTGTTAAATGTGGTACCTTACAAAAAATCACTTTAAAAGCACCGACATCAATAAAACATGCAGAAAACGTGAGGACTACATTTCGAAATCATTAGAACAGCAGCAGCATTTTAATATTAGTCCTCTATTAAGAACAAATGCTTCAACTTCCGTGTGTGTGTTTTTTTTCGTTCCAAATTAATTCAAATGGATGATTCCAATATATCGCAAAGCACTAAGCTTTTCCATGTGACAAACCTCAGTTTTCTTTTCTTTTCTTTTCTTTTTTTTTTTTTAATACGACCACAAATCTGTAGATGGAAATGCCTGCCTAGCACAGTGCACTCAGTTGTGCAAACTTATCTTTTTAGGGCCAAAGAAGAACACAAACCACAACCGACACAGTAAGTAAACGTACTGAGAGTGCAGTGGGCTTGACTTCTGTACCTCTGCCATCTTCTGCTGCCTGCACCCTGGATGGTATTAGCTCACACTAATACTGGAGAGGCTGCAGCTGGTGTGTCCTCTGCTTCCCGCCTCTCTGGCTTGTGAGACAGCTGCCTGCAGTTTCTTACTTCATCCACACACCGACTGGATGCGGTTTTTTGCTGCCTTGCTTGTGGTCTGGTTAAGTGTTCAATCTGAACTGCCCTACCTCTGACTGGCCGGGGGACAGCTGGAGCTCCCATTTCCATTGGCTGCAGCTTCTGTGCCTGTGTCCTTTTATTAGTATGGGTAAAGAAAACATGGGGCCTGCCTTGTTGTTCCTCTGGTTATTCAGTCACATTATTTGCTTATTCAAACAGGTGGTTTCCCTTTAGTGGGATCACTGAGCTGGTAAATAACGTCCTTCAGCCCCAGCAAAAACAGCAAAATGAGAAGGAGCCCCAGACGTAAGTAAGCTGATCTGCATAGACTAAATCTTATCTCTGATAGCAAAACATACTCAGGAGTATATATTAAAAAACTGCCCTCGGAATATTATCCCCTAGAGATGAAAGCTGTTAGGTTGTGAGTTTTGGTACTTTATCCCCTTTAATGATCCCCTAGAAATCCAAAAAGAATGCGAGGATGACTTATAGGGAAGTAAAAACAAAGAGGTAACTCCCCCCCCCCCCCCAGCTTTAGTTTAAATAATGTCAAATGTATTTATCCAACAAAATATCTTTCTCTAATCATGCAATATATTTCAAAGTATGTTTTATCCCCAAACTAAGATTTTTGGAAAAATCAGGGCTGTCTTAAAACGCCTTGGGAAGTGGGACAGATCGTTAAAAATCAGGGACTGTCCTGCCAAAAGCGGGATGTCTGGTCACCTTACAAGAGTTATTAATTCCCAAATGCAATCTGCGGTTAAATAGTTCTGGAGAGATTCTTTTAAAAAAAGATGAAGCGGTTTTCATTATTGTATAACGTCTTAGTTTTTAAATGTGCTCCAAAGGTGTTAGAACATATAGTGTTTACCTACTTATCTGATTCCTGAGTCTTCTTTTCATTGAATATTTCAAATTACATCTACCATAATTTGGGAAAGCAGCAATTTCTTCTCACGCTGACCTGAAACATAAAAAAAAAAAAAGCCCATTCCATTTATTTTATTTATTCTTTAAGAAGTTGTTCACACATATCTTTTTAATGTTGTACAAGTCATATTATTTATGTTGTGGTTTGGAAGTAACTCTGAGAATGTGAAAGAGATGGCGCATATTTAAATTCCAGTTTCCCCATGAAAACATCCATTTTACTCAGAAATGCTCTTACTATCCAGCCTCTGCACTTTTTAAAGTAGGAGTCATGTTTACCGAGAAGATGTTTTGGTTGTAGGAATGGGCAGATTGAAAAGGACATGAACTCCAGAAGAGAATGAGAATGACTACTAGGGTCCTTAAGATGAAATAGAAAAACATTCACTTTTTCTATATAAGTGCAAACTAAAAGATAAACATATTTTTTAAAAAATATATATATTTTATTGATTTTTTACAGAGTGGAAGGGAGAGGAATAGAGAGTTAGAAACATCAATGAGAGAGAGACATCGATCAACCAGCTGCCTCCTGCACACCTCCCACTGGGGACGTGCCCGCAACTAAGGTACATGCCCTTGACCAGAATTGAACCTGGGACCTTTCAGTCTGCAGGCAGACGCTCTATCCACTGAGCCAAACCGGTTTCAGCTAAACATCTTTTGGTTTAGTTATCTCCTCATCCATTTTTTGTTAACTTGTATGCATTTTATTTAAAATTATGTCACTTTTTTAGTTTCAATTGAAGTAAAACTATGTTGTGAAGTAGTCACTTTTTCAGTTTCAATTGAAGTAAAACTATGTTGTGAAGTAAAACTATGTTATAAAATTAATAGTTGCTATGTAGTTCTAAAATCAGAGCCGTTGCTGTATATAAAGCTAGTTGAAGTCCAGACCGGGTGGTATCTAACAGAATGCCTGATGTAATAGGAACTCAATAAATATTTCCTTACAACTGATTTACATGTTTTATCTTTTTATGATATACCTAGAGGCCTGGTGTATGAAATTCGTGCACAGGTCGGGGTTCCTCGGCCTGGCTGGTGATCTGGCCCAATGGGGGCTGGCCAGTGGGGGATGGTGGAGGGGGGAAAGGGACCATGGGAGGTTGGCTATGAGAGTGCACTGGCCACCAGGGGGCAGATCCTGCATCGAGTGTCTTCCCACTGGTGGTCAGTGTGTGTCATCACTACCTGCCAGTTGTCCGGTCGTCCAGTCATCTGGTCATAATGGTCACGTAGGCTTTTATATGGGTAGATAGACTTATTTTTTTTTTTAAATAAATCTTTATTGTTCAGATTATTACAAATGTGATCCTCTTCCCCCCCTCAATTGCTCCCCTTCACCAGGTTCCCACTCCACCCTCTGTCCTTTCCCCATCCCCCATTGTTCTCATTCATAGGTGCACAGTTTTTGTTCAGTCTCTTCCCGCACCCTCACTCCCCTTTTCCCTGAGAATCGTCAGTCCACTCCCCTTCCATACCTCTGATTTTATTTTTAAAATATAGAACGCTTCTCTTTCAAGTGGCAACCCAGAGACCTAAGCTGCTTCCCACGTTGTTCGTAAGCCAGCTGAAGCACATAACCACTAGGGTGGCCGCATCAGAGAAAGAGAGAGAATGGAGTACTCACCCTTATTCTTAATTGTATGAAGCAGGAAGTGACGTGAGCCACTTTTGCTCACAGATCATTGCCCAAGCCTTGTCACAGGGCTCTTAACTAACTGCAAGGACCTCTGAAAAGTTCCTCCGTGTGCTCACGAAGAGTGGCGACTGTGAATCACGAGCAGTAGTAACATCTATTACAGTTATTTCACATTTGGTTCTCTCTCATTGCAAGGAGATGGAAATTTCAGGATGCCGGAAGATGAGGAAGATGATGATTTGCCAAAAGAATGCTACTCTCGCAAGGATCTCTCCAGTATTAGCCCTAACTCCCGGTACCGACGTTTCTACTGAAACTGTTGTAACCACTTGGCATCCAAGTCTAATTTTATAAGACGGAAGATTAGGTTTAATAATATAAAGAGCATTTGAATACATAAGTGTTTTTCAGAAGGAAAGACGTTTGTTGTAATTTTTTCTTTCTTTCAGGGAACATAGTAAAGGTAGTCGGAAATTTCAGGGAGACACTATCTTAGGTAACAGTGAAAGACGAATAGATGAAAAACGTGATAACAATGGAAAGAGACTTAGGGCATACTGAGAAACCATTAGTTGATCATCAGCTATGTCAGAGTACAGTAAAAAAAAAAAAAAAGAGAAACCGTAAACAATCATTTTTGAAAGGAGAAGCAGAGATACCGGAAAGCATGCTTCTGTTCTTAGGTGGAAGCTGTCTCCTTTGGTTTGTCCTCGGCTTGACACGGAGTAATAGGTTAGCTGCTTCTCTCCAAATTCTCAAGACACTCCTATTGAAAACAGACTGATGAAGCAGAGTTCCAGTGGGCTAGGCAGCACTGCGTCTTTTCAGTGGTGACACATGAATCAACCTTTGGAGGCTTTCACTGACGTGCTCATTGTTATTAGGGCCTTGCTGTTTTTTCCATTAAGACTCGGGGTAGTTTTTTCCTCCTATCTTTTCCAGAAGACTAAACATTTAGGTTTTTGACCGTAGTTTTGGAAAGACTGATTGTACCGGTTGATGATACCCTAAGACTGGGTGTATCATGGATTCCATTCTGTACTTGTAATCATGTTAACTTGTGATAGCTGCATCTAGGATTAGAAGTGAAAATCCTAAATGCACCAGATTTTTCTGAAATCTGGTCTATTGTTTATTGACCAGAGGCCTGGTGCATGACATTTGTGCACTGGGGAGGGCGGAGGAGGTCCCTCAGCCCGGCCTGCACCCTTTAGCAGTCTGGGAGCCCTTAGGGGATGTCTGGCTGTGGCTTAGGCCCACTCCTAAGCTGCAGTGGGACACCCTGGACCTCCTTAGTGCTGCCATGGTGGCGGGAGGGACTCCTGCCACCACCACCATGCTTGCCAGTGGTCAGCCCAGCTTGTGGCTGAGTGGGGGCGTGCACTGACCACCAGGGGGCAGCTCCTGCATTCAGCGCCTGCCCCCTGGTGGTCAGTGCGTGTCATAGCGACTGGTTGTTCTGCATATTACCCTTTTATTATTTAGGATAAGGGAGAGTTGATGGACATTCAAAGGGTTGATTTTATTGTTTTGAAGGCTAATGGCATGGAAACTGAAGGGTCTTTGAGAATAGTTAATTTTACTTAAAAATTTTTACTTTTTCTTTTTCTGAAGATTGAGGATGATATGGACAAACACGTTTTGTTATAAGCTATGTGTTTCTTATTGGTGCTTGACTGCTCCAATCAGTTTGTAATGCAATTGTGAAACAAGTTGCAAAGCCAAAGTACTATATATTCTGGAATATATGTTGCTCTTTATTTTTCTGAAATCATCCCTGTAATGAAAAGATATGGATGGCTTTCTTTTTAGTGTTTGTAAAATCTATCTTATTCCGAGAAATCCTCAATTTCTTTAGTTTGATTTACAAAGTACTTCTTGGAGAAGAGAAAAAAACCCCTCAAATAATCATACCTACACTTATTGAGATTATAGTTGTCCTCCTTATCCAAGTTTTTGCTTCCTGGTCTGAAAATATTAAGTGGAAAATTCTAGAAATATTAAAGTGGAAAATTCTAGAAATAAAGTCATAAGTTTTAAATTGAGTACCATTTTGAATGGTGTGATGAAGTCTCATGCTATTCACTCTGTCCTCTCCAGGATGTGAGTCATTTCTGTCCAGTGTACCTATGCTGTGTATGTTACCATCTTAGTTATAGAAGATCAGTGCCGGTGTTCAAGTAACCCTTATTTACTTAACAGAGTTCAAGAGTATTGATGCTAGCCCAGCAGTGTGGTACAGTGGTTAAGCATTGACCCGTGAACCAAGAGGGACCTGGTTCGATTTCCGGTCAGGGCACACACTTAGGTTGCTGGCTTGATCCCTAGTAGAGGGTTTTCGGGAGGCAGGTGATCCATGATCTTTTTCTCTCATCGATGTTTCTGTCTATTCCTCTCCCTTACTCTCTTTCTCAAAATCAATTTTAAAAAGCATATTAAAAAAAAAAGTATATGTTGGCAATTTGGATTGCTAAAGAGAAGCCAAAAAGTGCTTCTTTAAAGTGAAAGTGTGGAAGTTCTAGATTTAGTAAGGAAAGAAAAAAAAAAAAATCATATCTTGAGGTTGCTAAGATTTGTGGTAAGAACAAATCTGTTAACTTGTGAAGAAGGAAAAAGAAATTTATGTTGGCTTTGCTGTTGCACTTCAAACTGAAAAAGTTATTGGCTACACTGTGTGATAAATGTTTACTAGTTAAGACACAAAACTCATCAAATCTGTGGGTGGAAGACACGCACAGAAAATATGTTGCCAGGTTTAATCCTCAGTAAGGGGGAGGGAGGGATGCAGGAGGCAGCCGGTCAATGATTCTCTTTCATCATTGATGTTTTATCTTTTTCTCCCTCTCCCTTCCTCTCTGAAATTAATATATATATCTATATATCTATATATATCTATATCTATCTATCTATCTATCTATCTATGAAATATCTTCCCATGTTGTATCAGAAAGCATTGACCTATGGGAAGACTTTAGTGAGGGGTCGCCCGAGATGAGTGACTCCAAGCCATTTACTGTACGTAAGGCGTGGTAACACAGATTCAGGAATAGGTTTTGACTAAAAAATATAATAATTACTGGAGGAGAGGGGGGGTATTCATATAACTTTTACTGCGGTGTGCTATGATTGTTTTATTATTAGTTATTGTTCTTAACCTCTTACTATGTCTGGCTTATAAATTAAACTTTATAAAAATATGTATTGACAAAAACTTAGTATATGTAGGGTTTGATATTATCTGGCTTTAGAACTCCACTGGGAATGTATATCTTATACCTTACCTGATGGAACCTGTGAAAAGGGAGATAAAGAAATTTAGCATCAATTTAGAAATTCTCAGTGGTTGGTGCTGGAAGTTGTAGTAAACGAACCTTTAAAGATTATTGTACAAAAGTAGTAATGTGTATTATTAGTTTATGGAGATCATGAAAGCACATACCTATCAGATAAATGAGAAATAACAGCAACAGAAACTCATGTGGCTGGGTATAAAAGCAGGATTACCACGAATTAATGGATTGAAAGTTTACTTTTCTCAAAGAACTCGAAAGTAGAGAAAATTTATTTTGGAAAACACTGAGTTCAGTGAGTTGCTTTAGTGATGATGGAGACATTGATGTAGAAATAAAAAAGGGGATAAAGCCGTTTTTCCAAATTATTGTGTGTTTTTTATTTTAATTTTTTTTTCTGTTTTTTTTTTTTTCCTTCTGGTATGCCTTTTAAACATTCATTTGTAATGAAAGTTTTAAATTAAGTATATCTTTGACTCTTTTATTTATACCAAGGATTGATTTGCAGAATATGGCCTGTGGTTCAAATCCTGCCTGCTGCCTTTTTCTATAAATAAAGGTTTATTGGAATACCACCAACCCCATTTGTTTGCCTGTTTCCTATGACTGCCCTCACAACCCACCAGCAGGTTTGAGTAGTTGCGACAGGTGTCCACAGGGCCGAAAATATCTATTTCTGCACCTTTACAGAAAACGCTAGCTGACTTCTGATTTACGTCATTGGAAGGTTATATATTCAAGTTGACGTACTAAGATCTTTCAGGCCTTTCATTGCGTTTGGAGTTCGGCTCTGACAGTGTTGTTCTGGTGTAGGAACAAACACAAAACCAGCGAAATGGAATACAGGGCCCATACGTAGGCCTCGGCACATGTGGAAGCTTAGTATGTGACAGATTGCCATCATGAATCAGAAGAAGGAAGGATGGACCATTTAAGGGTCCTGGGAAAATGGAATCTCCATACAAAGAAGGTTGAAATTCTCACAGCATGTCATGGGTTTGAATTGTGTTTATGCTTTACGTGGGCATGCCTGTTCTGTCAGACCATACATGGTGGGGGTTAAATCACCAGGCAAGCCAGGAGTTCACACAGGTTTGGGCGCTGTTGTTCTATCATGACCTTCCGGGCACCGCGGTCTTCAGATTCCGTTAGCAGTGGGTTACTGTGGCCTTGTGCTTAATGAGGATGGGTGCGGGAGCGCCCAGAAGCACCTAGTCCTCTCTTCTACACTCACCTACCTGCACCCCTAAAGGACTCTTGGGTAATATGCTCTGCTCCCAGTGTCACTCATGAGTAAGCAGCGGGAGCCCGTGGCAAAGGGCCTGTGAGTGTGAACTTACCCCTAACTGTTCCAGATTGTCATGCTAACCCACACTTGGCCGTTAATGATTTGTTAAAGTTTTCGCTGATTTCCTCTTGCCTGCCTAGCCGGTGGCTACCTTTCACTCCTGTGCTGTGCCAGAGGTGAAAGGTGAAAGGTGCCCTTGTTACTCTTTGGATTTAAACTCCTATGTTTGCTTCTCAGTTCTCTGATGGGCTCAAGGAAAGTGGTGATTTTGTAGCCTCTGGTTAATTTTAGAATGGGAGTGACGTTATTTATAGTTTTGTAAACCCTAAACGGAACTGATGGTAGTTTTAACACATTTTCAATTTTCCTTATAAAAACAGTGGAAATGAAAGTTATATCCCTATTTGTTATTTTTAAAATATATTTTTATTGATTTCAGAGTGGAAGGGAGAGGGAGAGGGAGAGGGAGAGGGAGAGGGAGAGAGAGAGAGAGAGAGAGAGAGAGAGAGAGAGAGAGAGAGAGAGAGAGAGAGAGAAACATCAGTGATGAGAGAGACTCATTGGTCAGCTACCCTAATGGGGATAGAACTGACCCCACACCCCGCCCGCCCCCCAACCCCCCACCCTGGCATGTGTCCTCACTGGAAATTGAACTGTGACTGCCTGGTTCATAGGTCGACGCTCGAGCACTGAGCCTCATAAGGAGGGCTATCGCTATTTATTTTTTACTGGAGTAAATAATACCTTTTCCTAGAAATATTTTTTCTTATTCTTTCCTTTTATTTTATTTTATTTTTTTTAAAGTAAAACGTGGCCTTTTATTTGCCCCATCTTATTTTTTTTTTTAGGATCCTAATATCTCACAGTATTTTTATAGCCAACTAATGTCCAGACGGCCGAACAGATTTAAACAATTAGTGAGACCACTCATCCAGCGCATTCCCCGCTGTCTGGAGTCTTAGGATCACTCCAATTCAGATCTTGTCTGAATGACTTGAATTTCATAAGTTTTGGTTTCACTGTGTAAGTCAAATTAACTGCCTTTATTTTGAAATTAAGCTTTGCAAAATAATATTATAAATATTTTAGACTGTATGGTTGAAAATATATTGCAAATAACAGGTAGAAATTTAAAATTATAATAGAAGAAATATCTCCATAGACACATATTGAATTAATTGGGCCTTACATTAATATGTATATCAGAAGGCAGAATTAGTTGCAACACTTATGATATGATATGCCATGTAAGATGTTATTCCATTATCAGAAAATTGAACTTTTATTCTGACTCTATGGATTTTTAAAAATTTATTTTTATTGCTTTCAGAGAGGAAGGGAGAGGAAGAGAGAGAGAGAGAGAGAGAGGAAGAGAGAGAGAGAGAGAGAGAGAGAGAGGGAGAGAGAGAGAGAGAGAAATGTCAATGATGAGAGAGAATCATTGATTGGCTGCTTCCTGCATGCTCCTTACTGGGGATCAAGCCCGCAATCTGGACATGTGCTCTTGAGTGGAATCGAACCTGGGACCTTTCAGTCTGCAGGCCCATTGCTCTATCCACTGAGCCAAACCAGCTAGAACTCTATGGATTTTTTTTTTTTTTTTTAATATGAAATTCTGTCCACAGATTGTAGTGGTAGTTTTCGTTTTGAGACCATCAGGAAACTGATTTTTCCTCACTTGCTTTCTTTGCAGAAAGCTTCATCAGCAGTTCGAAATGTATAAGGAGCAGGTGAAGAAGATGGGAGAAGAATCGCAGCAGCAGCAGGAGCAGAAGGGAGACGCTCCCACCTGTGGCATCTGCCACAAAACCAAGTTTGCGGACGGATGTGGCCATAACTGTTCGTATTGCCAAACCAAGTTCTGCGCTCGTTGCGGAGGCCGAGTGTCTTTACGCTCAAACAAGGTACAGAGATGAAATCATACGCAATCATGCTCCTACAGTTAAGCTTATTGTGCGCAAGTGCAGAAGACAACTGACATTGGTATTCAGATTAGCCAGGGCCTTCGTTTTAGTTAAAAAAATTAAAACTTTTTGAGTAAAAAATATATTTGCTCCATTTTCTTTGTCCTTTAGCTTATGATTTTGTTTGAAATACTGGAATCCTACGCTCTCTAAGATGATGAATAGAATCTAGAGATCTAATGCCTTTATTTCTTAAGAACAGAAAACTCAGATCTAGGGAGACTAAAGTTCCTTCTTTTTTTCTTTTTTCTTTTTAATATATTTTATTGATTTTTTTTTTTTTGCCTCCCTCCTTCCCTCCCACACATCCCCTCCCTCCCCAGAGTTTTGTGTCCATTGGTTGTACTTATATGCATCTATAAAAGTCCTTCGGTTGATCTATTATCTCTCCCAGATCTTCCTCCCCTCCCCGCTGTAATTTGACAGTCTACTTGTTGATATACTGTCTCTATATCTATCTTTTGGTTCATCAGTTTATAATGTTCTTTATCATCCACAAATGAGTGAGGTCATGTGGTGTTTCTCTTTCATTGATTGGCTTATTTCACTCAGCATGATGTTCTCCAATTCCATCCAGGTTGCTGCAAATGATGAGAATTCCTTCTTTTTATGGCAGCATAGTACTCCATTATGTAGATGTACCATAGTTTTTGGATCCAATCATCTGCTGACGGGCACCTAGGCTGTTTCCAAATTCTGGCTATTGTAGATTGTGCTGCTATGAACATAGGGGTGCATATATCCTTTCTGATTGGTGTTTCTAGTTTCTTGGGATATATTCCTAGAAGTGGGATTAGTGGGTCAAATGGGAGTTCCATTTTCAGTTTTTTGAGGAAACTCCACACTGTTCTCCACAGTGGTTGCACCAGTCTGCATTCCCACCAGCAGTGCATGAGGGTTCCTTTTTCTCCGCAACCTCGCCAACACTTGTCGTTTGTTGACTTGTTGATGTTGGCCATTCTGACAGGTGTGAGATGGTACTGCATTTAAAGTTCCTTCTTGAAGCCACAGAACTGACTAGCTTTTCCGTTGCCCACCCAAGTTTATAAAGTTTGCACATACACCCTTCCTTCTGAGAGGAAGAGGCTGCTTTGAGCTTTGAGATTCTGTGTTTCATAATTTGAAAGCTTTTCAAGCTACCTCACCTTTTTATTTTTGTCTTGACATTAATGTGATAAACATTAGACTGTGGAATTTCAAGAAGAAATGTGAAGGATGTTTTTCACACTTACACTAGATTTTTGGAGTTTTTCCATCCACTTTAGAAAAGTGTTAATGCTACCCGAAGAATGTTTGTCAAAGCCAGCAAAAACAGTTTTTTTTTAAAAAAATTATCTCCTCACTAGTATCTTATCAACCAGTTCTTCGTTTATATGGCTTTAAAATAGGAAGCTGAAATCTCTAATTACATAGATATAATAGTGGTAATTTTGTTCCCCTGTGTGATTTCGTTTTATCCATTTTCTCGTTGCTCCCCTTTTCTCATTGTTTTTTTTCCCCTCATTGTTTTTTTTTCTATTAATTTTTCACTGATTTGAAAAATTATACTAATTTACTGATTTTATTTCTGTTTTACTGATTATATTTCTTTTTTCTTGACTAGTTCTATGGGCTAGGAATGCCAGTATAATTCTGAATAGAAGTGGTGAGAGCAGACATATCCTACCATTTTAAAAAATATATATTTTTATTGATTTTACACAGAGAGGAATTGAGAGGGATAGAGAGTTAGAAACGTCGATGAGAGAGAAACATCGACCAGCTGCTTCTTGCAACCCCCCCACTGGGGATGTGCCCGCAACCAAGGTACATGCCCTTGACTGGAATCGAACCTGGGACCTTTCAGTCCGCAGACCGACGCTTTACCACTGAGCCAAACCAGTTTCGGCTATCCTACCATTTTTAAAAATGTATCTTTAAAAAAAAAAAAACTTGGTTATTGAAAGAATTATAGATATCTCTTTTCTCCCTCCCATTGACCTCCTCCACTCTGCTCCAGATTCACAGACATTGAAGTATCAAAAGACATATCCTATCTTGTTCTTGATCATAGGGGGAAAGCATTATCTTTCACTATTAAGGATTATCTTAGCACCCTAGCTGGTTTGGCTCAGCAGATAGAGCATCAGCCTGTGGACTGAAGGACCCCAGGTTTGATTCCGGTCAAAGGCACATGCCTGGGTTTTGGGCTTGATCTCCAGTAGGGGGCATGCAGGAGGCAGCCAATCAATGATTCCCTCATCATTGATGTGTCTCTCTCTCCCTCTCCCTTCCTCTCTGAAATTCTGTATTGCTGTGCCTTCAAGCTTTCTAATCTTTTCTCCAACAATTTCAAACTTTATGTTACCATGTAGTATATTTTTCATCTTAGACATTTTAGTTTTTATATCTAGAATTTCAGTTTGGGGCTTTCTTTATATCTTTCATGATCTACTTAACTTTTTGAACATATAGAATATACTTAATTCTATTGATGTTCTCCTTTGCTAACTCTAGCATCTCTGTCAGTTTTGCATTGGTTTTGATTATTTCCATTACATTGTGGGTTTTCCTGACTCTGCATGCTTGCTATCTTACGTTGGATGCCAGGCATTGTAAATTTTACTTGGTTGGGTGCTGGATGTGTTTGTGTTTCTATAACTCTTCTTTAACTTTGTCTGGGATGTATCTATGTGGAAACCTTGGACACTTTTGTGTATTTCTCTTATGATTTGTTAGATGGGTATGGAGCAGTGCTCAGCACTGATTATTCTCTTCTAAGATAAGGCTTTCGTGAATGCTTTAACAAATGCCCCATGAATTAGGAATTTTTCCAGTCTCGCTGGTGGGAACATCCACTGTTCTTTTTCATCCTCTTAAATGAGTCCACCCCATTCCCACTGCTAGGTGTTTTCTCACGTGCATGCTCACGTGATCTTTACTCGGCTGACTTCTTAAAGGGCCCTCTGCAGGTCTCTCGGTTGTAGCTTTCTTTTCTCTGGTAACTTGTCCTGTGACATCTGGCTGTGTTGCCTTCCTCAGGCTCTCCGTTTTAATCCATTCAAGTCAGGATGTCTGCTAAGCTGCACTTAGTTCCTCTGTCCTCTTCGGCTACCTGAAAAGTCCTTCAAAGTAGTAAGCTGGGACAATTGTAGAGTTTATCTTGCTAGTTTTCCATCCATCACTGTCTTTTGTTGTTTTATATACAATTTATTGTAAACCATTCTTTCATGTATTTTGTCTGTGGGTTTTTTTTGTTTTGTTTTTGTTTTGCTGTTGTTTGTTTGAAGTAGGTGGAGAAATGCTACGCCATTTAGTCAGAAGCAGAAGTCCCTCGTGACCTCTGATTACAATTTGCTTGAAAATACATTTCTTGATTTCCAACACAGGCCCCTTTATGTCCATAAAAAGTACAGTGAAACATTGGAATACCCCTTGAAGATCTGTTGCAATTTAATCTACTATAAAATTCTGTACGTTGTGGATTAGTCTGAAGGAGATGGTTAATAGGAGAAGGAATGCGTCCCACTTTTCTCATGTTTTTTTTCTCTTGATCTGAGGAACGTGTCAGGGGAGTAAAACATAAAAAATAGTTTGGAGTTTCGCTTGAGAAAGATAACCTGGATTTTTAAATTAGTTTTTCTACATGTTCATCGAAGTAAGAAACCTGTCATAAGAGTGTCATCATTTACTCGGGGTAGCGTCCCTTTGAGCGACAGGTATAAAGGTGTCTGTGTTCTGAGTGAAAGGAGTGTTGGGTTCACTTTCTATCCAGCTGCCTGAAGCAGTGAGAGAAGGCTTCAGCTTCCAGAAGGTGCTGAATGCATGCCTTTGATTTTTCATAGCCCTAACAGACTAAGCCCAGTTAAACTTGGTTACACTATTTTAATGTAGTAGAATAATGGGAATACCAATATTTTATGGCTTACAAATGTAATTATAAAGCTATTTAAAAATTAGGTTAGTATCCTTTTAAGAATCAAGATCAAATAATCTTGTTATAATGTTGAGGCTCTTAGATGTGGAGCCATCCTTAAAAATTAATTGTTTTTTTTTTGGAATGTATTTTGGATGCAAAGAAGATAAAATGGGGTATGAGACATATAGAAATTCCAATATGAGACTTTATGGAATATTGCTTCCATTGATTGCCTTTTAAGATGATACCCACTTCAGAGCTATATAGTTAGCCAGATTTAAAAATGATGACTTTATAAAGGAGAAATTATTTTGTAATCATAAAATGATGACTGTAGTAGGAAACTCATTATGATAATTTAAAATGAGGCTAATTTTAAGCTTCAATGTGTGGCAACATTAAGTTTTTGTTTCCTTTCCTTTTTGGTGCCAAAATATGTTACCATCTGCTTAATGGTTAATCTAATTTTGAGATATAAAGAACATACAGTTTTCAGAATTGTATTGTTAAATTTATAAATGTAACATGAGATTTTTCTATCATGAATGATCAGATTTGAAGCAGAATGAATGATAACTTTATAATGATTATAAAAGGGCTGCCTAAGTGAGTCCTTTAAAATATATTGGTACATGTGTTTTCAGTACACCAGATGGTAAGGATGGAAATGCTTCTTTGTAAATGAGTCATTTATATGAGTGGTTTTAATGAGTAATATTTAAATGGCACATTGAGAGAGAAAATAATGGTGAGAGTAGTTTTTCAATATTGTAGGTAGTTCCTTTCCTTTTTAAAAAAATTTTTAAGTCACTGTGTTTACAATCAATAGCTAGTGTGCTCGTGCAGCATGCAGTCATTCCCCCTGCATCCAAGGCGAGAGAATCGTATGAATTTTCTTTCAGACCTCAGAGGATTTCTACAGCCTGGTATACTGAGGGAAAATTGGACAGCCTTCCGAAGGGGGTGGCATTTGTTGAGAAAATTAGTAGAACCAGGTTTAGTTTCTGCCATGGTATTGTGTGACTTATGTTTGATGTGTCACATCCTGTCTTAGTGCTTCTGTGTTAAAATCTGTCAAATGAAAGCATTCATCTAACTAATTTATATGGTGTGGGTTTTTTTTTTGAGTTTAACATTTTATGATTTTTATTTATTTATTTAAAAATATATTTTATTGATTTTGTACAGAGAGGAAGGGAGAGAGATAGAGAGTTAGAAACATCGATGAGAGAGAGTCATCGATCAGTTGCCTCTTGCACACCCCATACTGGGGATATGCCCGCAACCAAGGTACCTGCCCTTGACTGGAATCGAACCCAGGACCTTTCAGTTCCCAAGCCGACTGTTCTATCCATTGAGCCAAACCGGTTTCGGCAACATTTTATGATTTTTAAATGAATCCTTGTTTACTCATGAATTCTTGAAGTCCCTGAAAAGTACATTTATATAGCCAAATAATGTACCGCTTAAACAACTTTTAAGAAGTGATAAAGAAGCGTCATTAGTTCTCTGATGTTACTGTATCTAGCATATTGTGTGTTAAGCTTTGGTTTTTAACTTTTCCCACATTTACACACCATGGGAGTGTTGAGGACACCACTGTTTTAGGAAACTATATTTATAGGAATTTGAGGAACAAAGTTAGGAAAACTCAGAATTCTATAATTTATAGGACTATTATTAAGTAAGAGCTTTCATTAGGTCCACCCTTAATTTTAAGCCTTTAAACTGAATAAGCCAGAATGTGTGAGATTATTAGAAAATAGCTATAGAATTTAAAAGGAAGAGAGAGAGAATTGTTTACTCCCATTGATGTGCCGGGACAATGTAGTGACTGAGGAACAGTCCAACCTGTAGAATCTTAGGAAACTTTATATCTCCTCATGAATATTAGTATTGTGGAAGGAGGCAAAATAATGTATTAAACTGAGCATAAGGGGATACATTTTCACCTTGTTAGCTTGTGCTGGAGCCGCATCAGCACAAGTTCTGAAGTGAGTGTAAGTTTGAATCCCATGACTTGTCCAAGATGCCTAATCTCTGCCTTAGTTTCTGCATCTATAAATAGAAATAATAGTAGTACTTATCTCACAGCTTATTGGTGAAGGTGAAATTAATTTTATATAAAACACTTAGATGAATACTTGGCACATAGTGAGTGCTACAGAAGTGTTTTGCAATAATTTTTATGGTATTAGATTTCTTATTTAATTAGTCACACCCAATATATAAGTCAACAGAGCCAAATATCAACAATAAAACGATTGAAATTTCTTTTGGGAGCTACATTTTTAAACTTAAACTTCTTCTAACGCCACTATTTCAAAATAGACTCGCCCAGGTGTGGTATTTTGTGGAAGAGCCACACTCAAGAGGCCAAAGAGTCGCATGTGGCTCGAGAGCCTCAATTTGCCGACCACGGGGTTAGTGTATTCCTTACTGCATATGTAAATTGAGTCTGCCATAAGGAATATGCATGTAAATTATATAAAGCAATATTAATCTTTGAATTGAATGTTCACTTTTTTTCACACAGAGACTAAATGTAAAGCTGGAGGAAATATCCAGATTATTCAGGTTGAAATTCACTTTTAAAGAAAGTACAGTTAAAATCCAAATTACCTATATGTTTAAAATAAAAATATTCCTCCACACTAGGTTATTATTTGTATTTACATGAGATTTTAATCAGTCTTTGTCTTAAGGTCCTTGATAATATCTTATATTTATACATCACCTTTCATTTTCATGCAACTCAATTCCACTTTGATTATTAATAAGTTTAATATCACTTTTACAAATACAATGAAACTTCTGACAATTGTATTACTAACAATTGATTAGGAGATGTATCCATCCTTTGGTTTTGAATTTCTTTTCTTCTGAAGGTTTGTCAGTTCCAAAAGCAGAGTCATCATCCTCATTCTTCCCTTTTCCTTTAGTAATTTCCTTGAGAGATTTTGTTCACTTTTTATGGCTTCAAATACTACATGTGGGCTGGTAATTTACAGATCCTGTTTTGCTAGCCGGCTTATTTTTGAGCTCCAGATCAACCTATATAGCTGCCTACCAAAAATTCCTGCTTACCGGACACCTCAGTTTCATTCTCCCCAAGGAACTGTCCCCTTTTCCTCTCGGTGACCTAAGCCAGATTCTGGAAGTACTTTACTTCTTCCTCTTCCTCAATCATGTCTTAAGGAGCCTTACTTCTCAGTATCTTTTGATCACTCTCTCCATTCCTCATGCTCCTACTATAGTTCATACTTCTCTGATATTTGTCTCTTACCCCAAATATTGCAACAATTCCTGGTTGTTCTCTCTGCTTCCAGACTCGTCTCCTTCCAATTAGTGCACATTGTAGCTCAGTGAACACTCAACAAATGGTAGCTAATAAGCCTTCTTTATAAGTCATATTGTAGGTTTTATGCTTATTTTTCTATTGAAAGATAAAGGTTTTGATGGCAGTATTATTTCATGTCTGTATTATAGCTAAGTTTTTCATGTAGATGTCATAGCTAAAATTGAACTAGTTTTGATCTGTTAAAAGGAATGAACTATTAGCAAATGTATTAGTTATTAACTTTAATTAAAAAAAATTCTGCCATGTGAATTATTTTTTTTCCCAAAGTGGTATGCTTCTGAGATTGTGCCAGGTATTAATACCGTTAATAAAGATTTTAGTTCCAACGTATCATATATAATCTAGTTATTCTAAGCTCTATATTCCAAACATGCCAGTCTTCTTTGTGCTTTTTTTTTTTTTTTTTTTTTTTTTTTGCATAAAATGTTCTCCTCACTGGTCTTGCTAACATTCTCTTCATTCTACTTTGTGTTTTTGTTTGTTTGTTTGTTTTTTTAAATTTATTTAAACATTTACTTTCTAACGTACTTATTTACTTATTTATTTATTTTGGAGGGAAGTAGGGAGGGAGAGATTTGTTGTTGCACTCATTCATCCATTCATTGGTTGCTTCTTGTATGGGTCCTCACCTGGTATCAAACCCACAGCCTTGGTACATCTGGACGACATTTGAACCAACGGAACTGCCCTGCCAGGGCCCCGTTAAAGCCCTGCTAACATCTTAGAAACTTTCTCTTAATCCTTTCCCCCCACGTGCTGGGATATCCTCTTTTATTTGGGTTTCTATGACGCTTTGTTATTCCCTTGCTTTCCGAATATCTCTTTGTTCCCCAGTGATTTATTTCTCTCTCATTACATTTAGTTCCTTGAGGGCAGAAACTGTCCTATTCATTTTTTACACCTGGGACTTCTGATGTGGTGCCTGATACACATAGATAGTGAATGCTTTGAAAATGATTTTTGTTGGACTAAATTGTTGTCAATAGATAGATGTCCTTGCCTGTGTACTCGTACAATAGCTAGAATATGATCTTTAGGTCTAACATTTGTAACAAAGCAATTAAGAACACAGTGATGTAAAGAATGCAGTCCTATCTCTTCTATGCAATATCCTCTATAAGATATAGAGCTACATGCCAGACAATGTGTTGAGGGTTTTTCATGCTATATTAAAAAATTATCATAAACCCTATGAAATTTTGCAGATAAGGAAACACAGGCTTAGAGAGCTTAAGGGAACTGCACAAGATATACAGCTAGGAGTGCTGCTTAAAAGGTGGAATTTTAAGATAGGTCTTTTTAACTACAGAGTTTTTCCTCTGGGTCACAAGTATTATACTACGGCCCATATTGTAAGGAAAGAGAACCTCAAAACACATGATTTGGACTTTCAATTTATATGTTTTTGTGATATATCATGTCATTATTATTACATCATCACTTTTACTATAGTATCATTATATTTAAACTAGAAGCCCAATGCACAAAATTCAAGCAAGGGACTTGGCCCTCGCAGCCCCAGCTATCTCAGCCCTGGCTTTGTCTGTGAGGTCTCTGCTATTTGGCTGTCTGGCTGTCCCATCTAATTAGCATATTATACTTTTATTATCCCCTAATATGCAAATTGTCCCCTTGGGAGTTTGACCAGGAGACTGAAAGTGCGATCACTTGCTATGACATCTGCTGACCACCAGGGCGTGGTGTGGAATGAAGGAAGGCCCCAGCTGGCAGCTGGGTAAGGGACGCCCTAGCCAGCAGCCAGAAGGAAGGCCTTGGCCAGCAGCCAGGCCTACGGACCCCACCCGTGCACGAATTTCATGCACTGGGCCTCTAGTTATACATAAAGAGAAATGCAATAATCAAGTTTAATTTTATTATATCTAAAATGTCCTTTTGACCAAATCCTGTGTCTTATCACTTTATTTTCCACATTTATAATATTTATTTTTCTCATTTATAATTTTTGGAAACTATGACTCAAAATTACCAATTTTAATCAGTAATATATTTTCTTTAATGACTTTATATATTTGTCCTCTTTGTTATAAAGCTAGGAGACTCCTAAATTAATGGGACAGAGATGAATTTTAGAAGCATTATGCATAATTTACATAAAAATACACTTTGTCTACTACTTTTGCTAATATGTGATGAAATTAAAGGTAAATAGTGATGCAGTGTTTATACGGTTTTGTACAAAAAGTCTTCTTACCTTAACATGTTTTAGTTTCTCTTTGAGTTAATTATTTAATTAGGATTTCATTTGTGGAAAGAGCATTCTCCTTTTTCAGATGTTTGGGTATTTAATTGCTTTTATAGAAATTATTCTAATTTACATGTTTTAATACATTTTAGTATATAGTGTGCTCTTAAGTTTTTTCTCTTAAAAAGTTTGGATTTTATTAAAAAATTAATTAGACTTTTTTAAGAATTTTTATTTCACTAACAAACTTGAAACTCTTATTTGTTTTTAAGAATGGAATTAATTATTTCTTTTTGTTTTGTCTTTTCTGTCCTTTCTAACTTGCTTTCGTGGATATTCACACCAGGAGGACAAAGTGGTTAGAGTCTTTTTTTCTGTCTAATATTATTTTTTTCTTATTGTTGTTATTGCTAATTTTAATTTTATAGCTATATTTAATTTACATACTTTTAAGTTGTAGTGCATGAGAATCACTATACATTAAGATATTTTAAGCATGCTCTCTGATTTTACTGAAAAACATTTTATTATGTTACAGATAAAAAATTGATTATTTGATTCTTAAAGAGGCCTGCTTCTTTAGGAGTTAGTATTTTTAAGGAGATCTTATAGCATTTTTCATTGTGTTAAGAATTCTTTTAATCTTACAATATTTTCCTAAAGTCATCATTGTACTGGTCAGAGTTTTTAAAAGAAGCTTCTAGCATAAAGATCCAGTATTTGTAATAATGAATAAGTCACAATAACGTTGAACATGGATTTTTCTGAAGTATATATATACATTTGAGTATAAGTATTTAATATATTTTTCTTTTTCTTAATGTGTTATATAAATTGGTAAAATGTCTATCTTATATCCTCATATTAAGTATTAGGCAATTATAATTTTAAAATTCCTAGGTTTAGAGGATTCACTCCAGCTTAGGTTTTAATATTCTGCCCATATTTGTCCTTAGAGGTCAGATTTGGATTTGCTAGAGAATGGTGACTTCCTGCAAACACAGATAAAATCTTTCTATTCTGATTCTTTTAAAAAAACAGGTCAGCTTTTTATTTTTTACATTTTTATAGGTCTACTTTATGTGTGTGTTATAATATTTTATAGCAAACTTGAGATATTAATTACAGCAATGAGTAGGTGGGCTGCAGACAGTTCTGAGAGAAAAAAAATGCAGGCTTTCTTCTCTCTCTTTTTTAAAGATTCTAATTCTTTTTGATGAGTCAAACTAAACTTGAGGTCTGAAGGTTTTACCAAATTCAAATTGGCATAATACCCAAAGAGGACACTGTCCAGCTGAGGTCTTCTGAACGATGACTCTTTTTCTTTTTTTAACCAATTAGAGCTTTTTTTTTTTTTTAATCTCCTCAGTCTTCAGTTACTAGGTTGAGGATAATGTAGGTGGTGGCAGATACTGATGTGGTTTTAGAATGTAGTCGCTTAGCAAAAAAGATCTTCAGGGTTGCTTGGTTTGTTTTCTTTTATTTTTTATTTTTTACCTGTAGGAATTCTGTCAAAATTTTGAGCCAGTTTTGAAGGTTAATTGCTGTAGACATGTGCCATCCATCTGCTCCATCAAGGGCAGATGCTAGAGCAGCGGTCGCCAACCTTTCAGACCTCAGGGACCACCAGTTGGCGACCGCTGCTCTAGCTCACCTACCAGCCTTCTCCTGGCCAGCCTCACCAGGTGGCTCTGAGGTAGTGCTATCGACGTAATTCAAAGCCTTGTGTTCAGTCTTCTTATATTTATTCCTCTCTTCTTCTCTATGCTACTTCTGTGTCTGTAGTTTTTATAATGAATTTTGACACCTATCCTATCCTATCCCAGATAGTAGTTACTTAATAATAATTCAGCTGTGATTTTCACTTACTGACAAGATTTTGTAATGTAACAGTCTATATTTTATACCAAGGATCCACTCACATGAAATGATGCTAATTTTATATGAATTTGGACGTTGTAAATAAAATTCAGTAGGTCTTTTTATGACACTCTCTGTGCAGTACTGTTCAATAGGGCTTTCCATAGTGATGAAAATGTTTTATGTCTTGGCCTAGTCAGTTTTGGCTCAGTGGATAGAGTCTCAGCCTGCAGACTGAAGGGTCCCAGGTTCGATTCTGGTCAAGAGCTCATGCCCAGGAATTGGGCTTGATCCCTGTAGGAGGAGGGGGAAGCGATGTGCAGGGGGCAGCGGATCAATGATTCTCATCATTGATGTTTCTCTCTCTCCCTTTCCCTTCCTCTCTGAAATCAATAAAAATGTATTGAACGACGTTTTATATCTTCACCATCTAATACAGTAGGCTCCCGTTGCATGTAGCTATTGAGCACTTGAAATGTAGCTAGTGTGTGTGGAGAGGAATCGAATTTTAAAGTTTAATTAATTTTAATTAATTTAAATTTAAATAGGCTTCTGTGGCTAGTGGCAGATGAAACCCCAAGCCTGGATAACAAGCATTCTATTGTATCTATGACTATTCAGCCCCTAAGGCACATGTGTCAAACACGAGGCCCGCGGGCCAAATCCGTCCCGCCAGGCCTTGCAATGTGGCCCGCACCCGCGCTGTCATCACTGCACTCCGCTGCGTTTCCATCACAATGACAGTTTATGACTGTTCAGTAAACCATTCGGCCCGCGATTTAGGCTGGATTTTAGATTTTGGCCCCTTCTCTGATTGAGTTCGACACCCCTACTAAGGCAATACTTTGCACTCACATTAGCAGCATGATGTGCGTACTAGCAGTGGAGTTGAAAGATGTACAGAATGCAGGAAAGATGCATTTGCCAGTGTCATTGTTGACATAGCCAGGGAGGATAACGGCCAAGGGACACCTTCCCAAAGGGCAGAATCAGGGAATATGAATGACAACCATCAGGGGAGAGCCTCCTGCCGTAAATGGCTGAATCTGAGACTGACAGGATAACCAAGGAAGTGAAGCCATTGTTCATGTAGGGGTTACTGTGCGCTGTGGACTGTTGACCACCACATACCTCTCCTTCTTCCTGTTTCTGAGGGGGAGTTTTTGTGGCAGCTCCCTCTTGTTTCTCCGTAGTGTGTTTTGGGTGTGTTGGGAACCGATCATTTGTCTTTCAGTGGATGGGCTCTCAATGACCCACACTCACCTGTGATGGAGGGATTTGCTCTACCTCAGAGGTCCTGGATTTAGAGCTAGATTTTATAACTAGATGAGGCTTTGGGAGTCTCTCCCTTTGGGAAAGGGTGACCGTGTTACATGTAAAATATATGTACAGAATGTTGGGTAGTTGAATGAGGAAACTGTTCTAGATCCTGCTGAATGGCTATCTCATCAGACATTTTCCACTTCTTTCTTATAATTTCCAAGAGAGGGACTTGAAAAACATACAATTTTTACCTTTCTTTGCAATTGGAATGGCTTTATGACACAGTTCTAGGGGACGAGATGGAAGAAATTTGTAAGAGCTTCTTGGAAGTTATGATAAAAAAGAAAGATGTAGCTGGAACTACCTTTTAAAAAAATATTAAAAAAATTTATTTATAGAGAGAGAGGAAGGGGAGGGGGGAGAAACATCGATGTGAGAATGAAACGTCGATCGCCTGCCTCCTGCATGCACCCCACTGAGGATCGAGCCAGCAACCTGGGCATGTACCCTGACTGGGAATTGAACAGGCAACCTATCAGTGGGTGGGACGTTGCCCAACTAACTGAGCCATACTGTCCTGTGCTGGGATGACCTTTTAATGCAAAAGTGTTGTCTTGGGCTTCAGCGGCCATTTGTGAAGATGAGGGAAAAGCCAGGAGTACTTGAGTCATTAGACATGACATTGTTGAGCCACTGATCCAGCCCCTTTCCTCAATGTGAGAAAAATGCCCAACCCAATCTGTTCCTGCCACTAGTGGTCAGATTTTCTGTTACTGACAGTCAAAAGCATTCTTAATGGAAACATTGGTGGATTTGCAGTGAGCGGCAGGGAAACCATACAAACATCTAGAGTTGTTCTTTACAAATACAGCTGTGGAGTAAAGCTGTGCATGTTGATCATTTCCTTGATACTCAGCCCTCTGCTTTTGCCTGTATATGATATTGGAAGTATTAGTCACTTAATACACCTGCTCATATATTACATATAAACTAACTTGGGTTACAAACAGTAGATTCATATGGAAATGTTGGACTTTTTAGGATGCGTGGGACAAATTAGTAAACTAAGCTTCCATGCCAAATTATTTGCCATAGGTTAGAACATGTAGCTGGCTGTTTATCTTTTAGTAAATATCTGGTGAGAGCAAAATGATGCTCATTTCACTGTCTAGAGAGAATATTATCCTATATAATAAAAGCCAAGCAACTGAATAGTGAAACAACCAGAACAACCAGTTGACCAGTCGCTATGATACACGCTGACCACCAGGGGGAAGACACTCAATGCAGGAGCTGCCCCCTGGTGCTCAGTGCACTCCCACCGTGGGAGCACTGCTCGGCTGACTGGGATGAGTAGCGCTCCCACAGTTGGGCTGATCCCCGCAGGCCATGCCTCCCACCAGTGCACGAATCAAGCCTCTACTCTGTTTATCAAAAGACCACTTTAATGAAAATCTTAAATTATTTCTTTTTCTCTTTCTACAACAGTTATTAGTTCTCTTATCCAGTATCCCTTGAGACAATAATAAATAAAAGATTCACCCATTGTTGGCAGATTATTACATACCTTTATTGTAAACATAAAATAATTTTACTAATGGTAATGTTGGTGCAGTAAAAGGTGTGGAGGGATGATATGTGTCCTGCAGTATTTCTCACGTTTCAGACGCATAAAGGCTACCTGTTGGGCTGCAGTTGCCGTGGTGACATTCAGAGCAAGGTGCTCTTTGTTTCCACTGCTGTCTGACGCTTTTTCTGACTTAAGCACCTTATCCAGCTTCCATATCCCATGCCTACGTTCCTGCCCATTGCTGTTCTCATGTGGTATTGCAATTTAGCATATGCTTAAAAGAGTTTTTTGTTATAGTATCTTTGGTCGTTCCATTTCATCTTGGCAGTAGTGTGGAGCTGCATTTTTGTAAATACTCCTAAAAAAACAGTAGAGAGTTTGCTTTTGCATTTTTATTTAATCACATAATAACCTGTAGATGGCCTTAATAAAATTGTCTTATAAATGGACTATAACAGCTCTATCAGGGCCAACTCTTATAATCACAAGTTTCACTACTTCTACTATTCTGTTTCTTTTATGGTAAGCCTGATTGAATGAAATAGACATCCTTTGATATTAGCTAAATTTTCCCTGCATGAGCAGGTGAAATAATAAAAAAAACACCATAAAGTGAGTTTATTATTTTAATATTTGTAATAACAGCATCATACAACCAAAATTGA